TAGCGTTCGTTTAGCAGGCACATCAGACTCCCCATTTGAGCATCATCAGGTGTCAAGATTAATCAGAATGACAAACCTCTGGCTGGCCTTTTTAGGTGTCATCGCCTCCAAAGTCAGGGTTCAGCATTAGTTTCTCTATCTATACAAAAATGAGACTAATTTTGTTGTGAGAAAAGGTTATTCTTGTAGTTCCTTTCAGTTCAAAACAATGATTTTGTTCTAATCTGCAATACCCCTTTGGAAGCTATGGCATAAAAGGGCATTCCTAGAACTCTACTGATATATTTCATGCACTACAGAGTACATTTGCCACTTGTACCCCGCTAATCTCATTCTATCCATAATGCCAAGGCCATAGGGCCTCAAAGAAGCTGCAGGCAAAATGTTAAAAAAATTCTGCACCAATTGGCATGCTAGGCATCTGGAAAACTATTCGCGAAGAAGTCAATGCTCCCTACAAGGTTCCTAGTGGCATTGTAAGGGAAAAGTGTATGAGCCTCATAGACTTTCAGGCCAGACGGGACCATCATAATTATCTAGTCTGACCTCCTGCAACACTGCAGCCACAGAACCTCACCCACCAACTCCTGTCACAGACCCATAACATCTGGCTGAGTTACTGAAGTTCGCAAATCATGATCTGAGAAACATGTGCAAAGTAGGTTTCTGTTCCTCCACAGAGACATCCATGGGTAGGAAGGTGCTACTGGGTTGGTTCCCAAACAATTCCTTAGATCACAAAGCTCTTGGTCTATACAGGTTAGGTGGTGGGGGATGGTGAGATGGGGTCTATTTTTTTCCTGTCTACTCTGATAATAATTAAATCTCTGCTTATCCTTTCCCTCCCTACTTCTGTGATTTGCTGCTTGCTACTTCCCATCAGTGATGAATGAGGAGAGACGTTGTGCAGCAGAATGAGATGGTTCTTACCTGACAATTTTCTTTTTGTGAGCAGCTTCTCGCCTCATTTAACCCAGCCTGGTAACTGGAACACAATTTGTAACCAATTGAAATGTTTCCTTAAAGGGAGAGTTGGACAAATAATTACTATAACGTTATGTACATATGATATCAAATTGTTGTCTTACTGATAATAATCGGTTGCTGGAGTATTTCCACAGCTTTGAAAGAACTCTTCTGGTTGCCTGAGCTGAAGGGTGGGACTTAGCCCTGGACTCTACAGCACCAACACTGTACTGCTTCCAAATTCCACAGATGGGGGCCAATAGTGATGAATGACGAGAAAAGTTGTTAACAGAAAATTATCAGGTAAGAAATTTCTCATTCCTTATGCAACAGCGGCCATGCTTCGAGGAAAGAGTTGGGTCTGTGAAGGCCACACAAGGAGGCTGGAACTTGGGAGGCAATGAAATAAAGGAAGTGCGGGATGGAGCTAGAGGAGAAAGGGGGAGAAGCATATTTCAAGGAAGGGAAGAAGCTGCCCTCATCGGGCCACCTTTCTTAACCCCTCAAGGCAGCATGAGGTCAAACAGAGAGAGTGAGCAGGCTGAAGAGAAGACTGAGGATCCCCTGTTCCTTTTTCTCCCTGTGTGAGCAACAGTCCCCATGCCAAGCACAAAGACAGGAAGGAAGATGATGTCCCTCCACTGAGATGCTTGCCATCCAAATGGAAGAGGAAGACATGATGTAAAACTTGAAGGAAAAAGCAACAGGGAGAGAGAACTAGGCCTACACGAGAATGGCATGACATACTCCAAAGGAATAAGAGGGAACAGAGCAAAACATGCAAGAGGGACCCACAATCTTCTGATCCTGAGGCAAGGGAGTTACCAGCTGAGCAAGGCTGACAGTTGGAAAATGTTTTGTGGCACACCTGGAAGCTAGGCATAACTAGGGACAGCCAGCAAACCTGACAGCTGAATAACCCCTATCTTTAAGCACCTCTGAGGTATGGATAAACAGGTATTTTCAGTGCTTATGGGATCAAGACTTAGCATTGTTTAAAAGTCCCTCAATAATGGTGATATAACTCTAAAGCCTGGATTCTCTCCTAGAGTCTTCTGCTTTAGCAGAGCAGATGCGGAGAAGAGTCTCCATTTGGGAAAGCGATGAGAGCTGTGGTTCTCTGCCTGCTAACCATCCATTGTATGGCAGAAGAAGCCAGTTGTGCCACAAGAAGCCAGTTGTGCCACAATCAGCTTAACTGGGGAGACTAGCATTGTGTTGTGCAGCTCAAGTTAGAGGAAGGGGAAGCAGCTGAAGGATGATGCAATTGAGGGAAGTTAGCTGGGAAGAGAGACAGAAAAGATGGTCGTGTGGAATCACAAAATGGACTTGGAGTTAGGAGAGCTGGATTTAATTCCCAACTTTGCCACAGATTCCCTGCATGTCCTTGCACACTAACCTCTCTCTGCCTCAGTTCCTCATCTGTAAAATGGGGTTAATGCTTCCTTTTCCCACCTCTTCATCTGTCTGGTCTGTTTAGATTGTAAGCTCTTTGGGATAGGGACTCTCTCATTGCGTGTTTGCACATCTGGGCCGATTTCAGTTGGAGACTCTAGACAAAGAAGAGGGGAAATGAGTGTCTTGGAAGGAGAAAAATGGAATCCTCTCTACATGGCTAAAACCGACATTGTAACAGGCACTAACCGCTGTAGCGCTGACTGAGCTCGGAACAGGCAACAACCACGTTTAAAGAGGATGAACCCCTGGGGAGGCAAAGAGGAAAAGACTGACTTTTCCTTTTAACCGTTGCAGTATGGGGCACTGGTTTTCCAGCCAAGCTTCCTGCATGCAGCCATCAGGTATGTTTGAGACCCTCCAGGTTTAATTGGAGAATCCGATGAGCTCATCCAGAAAAAGAACACCTAGGGTGTGGGGGTGTCAAACGATTAAAAAAATCAGTCACAATTAATCACCGTTTTCATTGCACTGTTAAACAATTATAAGAATAGCTATTTACATTTATTATAAATATTTTTAGATGTTTTTCTACATTTTCAAAATATATTTATTTCAATTACAACGCAGAATACAAAGTTCACAGTGCTCACTTTTATATCATTATTTTTATTGCAAATATTTGCCCCTTAAAAAAAGATAAAAGTGCAATTTACACATCGAAGTATGAAGGGACACATGAACGTACAGCATATTTGGCATGTAAATACCTTGCAATGCCGGCTACAACAGTGCCATGCAAATGCCTGTTCTCACTTTTAGGTAACTAAGAAGTGGGCAGCATTATCTCCTGCAAATGTAAACAAACTTGTTTGTCTGAGCGATTGGCTGAACAAGAAGTAGGACTGAGTGGACTTTTAGGATCTAAAGTTTTTGAGTGCAGTTATGTTAAAAAAAAAAAAAATCTGCATTTGTAAATTGCACTTTCACGATAAAGAGATTGCACTACAGTACTTGTATGAGGTGAATTGAAAAATACTATCTCTTTTGTTTCTTTTTTATAGTGCGAATATTTGTAATAAAAAATAAGATAAAGTGAGCACTGTAGACTTTGTATTCTGTGTTGTAATTGAAATCAATATATTTGAAAATGTAGAAAAACATCCAAAAATATGTACAATAAATTTTAATTGGTATTTCATTATTTAAAAGTGCAATTAAAACTGCAATTAATCGCAATTAATTTTTTTTTTAGTTAATCACTTGAGTTCACTGCAATTAATTGAAAGCCCTAGTAGTCACATGCTGCTCCTCACCTCTCTGGGATTTTGTGAATTACAAAATTAGGGCCAGTTCCTGAGAGATGCTGAGCACTTGCAATGCCTGTAACTTCAGTGGGAGCTGCTGGTGCTGTGCATCTCCCAAGCATTGACTTTCACCCCATTGGCTTTGTGTGGCATTTCTTCCTCCTCAGCGCTGCAAGTGCCAATTAACTCCACTTCATATATGTCCTAGTATCAATAGGTTCTTGTAGTGCTAACATTAGTTTAATTTAACCCCTTCGTTTCTGCATTTTCTTCCAGACACGAAAGGGTGGGAAGAGACTGTGGTGGTGGGGGGAAAGAGGCACTTGGACGGCGTGATATGAAACCGGTACAGAAGTGCTTGAACAAAGGGTCGAGAGCTTGTGGAAGGATGGAGAAGGCTACTGGCCAGCTGGCATAGTTTCAGCAACAGTGCCAACTCCCAACTGGTGCGAGAAGAGGTGGTGGGAACATGGAGAGGAGAAGAGGGCAGAAGGAGGAACTGCAGAGGAGGAAGAAAATCCCTACCCTTCTCAATGAGTCCCTGTAGGTCATCCAAACTAAGAGGTTAATGTCAACAGCTTTAAAAGGCCCAAGAATTATGGCAGTGAGTGAATGAGACTAGCAGGAGGAGAGGAGACTAGAAAGAACCTGATTTTTTCCATATGTATTTTGACAGGTTTCAGAGTAACAGCTGTGTTAGTCTGTATTGGCAAAAGGAAAAGGAGGACTTGTGGCACTTTAGAGACTAACCAATTTATCTGAGCATAAGCTTTCGTGAGCTACAGCTCACTTCATTGGATGCATATGTATTTTGGTTACTTCTGATGGACAAGAGTTGGGAAAATGGATCAGGAGGGAGAAACTTTCCCAAATGATTTCAGGGAATACCAAGCTACCGCCAAGCGTTTACGCAGGCACCTTTCTCTCATGTGCAGGTGAAGTGCTAGTCTGCTACCAAACATCACCCCTGCCTAGGCTTCACAGGGCATGTCTGAGGACCCACAGGCACTACTGACCAAAATCTCAAGAGCGCACGGGGCACCCATCTCCTGATGTGCCATAGGGATGCTATTCTTAGAAGAATGCAACTTTTTTTCCCATCTTCTTCATCTAAAATGTGAGGTGCATTACTCCCAGAATTCCACACCAATCACTGCAGCTAAAGACCAAACTGTAGGACACTAAAATGTCTTCATAAGCATCTTTACAAAAAAAAGTCTGTTTAAACACACTTCAAACAAATGTATCCAAATTATCAGACCCACATTGGCTTGCACTGGTCTCTTGCATGCTGTACTTCTGAATCTAAAGGCAACAGACCAAACAACCATAATGATTAAAAAAAAAATTTTAATACTTTATTTTAAATGCAGATACCATCATGAGTCATCAAAATAAAATTTGTAATAGTAACTTTGTTTTAAATACTGTATGACAAATGGCCACTGAAAATTTGACTATGTGAAATGGGTTAAAATTGTAAATTAACCAAACTAAAATTAAATATTACAAATGACAATTTTCAGAAAGAGAAGAGGAAATTAAAATATTTTCCAGATGAGCTAAAGTAATTCAGCCATTAAAATAGACTAAAAATGTAAATTAGCATGATGCTGCCCATGAAACAGTCAGGAAAGAGAACTTCCTTCCTTTCTGTCTTTTGTCATTTAAAAAGGTCCACTGAGTTAAAATATTACCACAAAATTCAAATTATACTGTTCTGATTATTTCCTCTTATTTAAACAATAACGATTCATTAATCCAGGATAATCCAAGGAAATGCTGATAAATTGCACTTCTCCAGGTGTCAATATTGTGCAGTTAGGCTGCTGTCACTACTCCTGCATTTGAATGATCCCATCCTCTCCTTCCAAACACACAGGTGGTCATGGCAGAATATTTAAATAACAGAATCCTTAAAATAGTCCATGTCAGGGACAGCAGCTAAGGGCTCCTTCCATGCCCTCCAGAAGGACTTAGAAACCAATGGCCAAGGAGGAGTCCGATCTCTGCTAATTGCCTCTCTGTGCTGCCTTCTCTCAGATTCAGCTTTCCAGATGCCATTGCTGAGGAAGGGAGCCATCACAAATAGCCATGGTTACATATCCTTTGTGGCTAAGTGGATCAACAACCTTCATGCACTGCCCCACTGAGACCTGGTAGAGTCGATTGTTCTTCTGGAGATAAAATAAAAGAGGAAATACAAAAAAAATTGGCTTTGCTTCATCCTTAAACTGAAAATGAGTGCCAAAGTCAGTGGGCCATTCACTAAATGCACTAAAGCAATGCACATTTCAGATGGTCTTCACTTCGACCCAGTCTACTCTACACCTATAACCAAGGCAATACACCTGTCCCCGACCCAATGAGTTAAAAGTTGTAGAGTATATCCCAACAACTAGGTGTAAACCCTGGAGAGAAGATTTTAGCCCAGTTACAGAGACCCAGTCAGGTTATATCTATACTATGGTTTGTAAAAATGTTGGACAACACATGGAATGGGGTCTCATCATTCAGTGGACACATAACCTTACACAGTGACACAGCATTAAAGAATACCCAAATCTGGCACTCACATACCCAGGCACAACTCTCAGTGGGGGTTCTGTGTGCATGCACCAGACACACCAGCATTGGCACTAATGTTCAGGAGTGAGAGGGGATGAGCTACTCACAGCTAGTAGATCCCATCACAAGGGAGAGAGTCTCCAAGCTAGTTCGCTGCCCACTATTGTGTGAAATAGACCGTGCCAACCCCCTTTTACTTCACCTTCCAAGGCCCACGCTGACCCTTGTCTGGGGAGACCTGGGGGCAGCTCCGGCTGGAGTTGGTCACCTGGAGGCCCTCTTTCCTTCTCAGAAAAGGCCCAAGCACCCCGCTATCAATCCATCAGCACGGGAGTTTACCTGCTCCCATGAGCGATGGGGAGTTCTGCTGGTGCTCTACTCCCATTGTTTTAATGCTTACATTAAAGTGACAATTTACTGCTGCCACTGCATCCAGGCTAGTCAGTGGGGAAGGCTTTGGGTTAACACTGAGGAGGAGCAGCCTTGACACAGATGTGAAAATCGACTCAGCAGCTGCTTTGTGAAGTCGACCATTTAAAAGCAACATGAGAAACAAGTGCAGGTGACAATTTTAGTTTGCCTGGTTGAACGTGTGCTTCTACTCCGTGAAGTGACTGTAAAAATAGCACTTTCTTACTCCTCGGATCTTCTCCCTGTGCATGTCCAGGGTCAGACCTGCCTATGCCATTGACAAATGTTTTTACTGTTTCTTACTCCTGTTAGTCCTGCAGAGCCAACACAGCTGAGACAGTGTGACCTGGGTTCTAGTCCTCCCTGGGCACCACAGAATTGATGACTAAATTACAGTTACACCTGTGCAGCCTCATTGATGGGAATGAATGTAATCTGGCCTGACAAACATTTATTACAGCTGATGATGTATGGAAAGGAAAAGAACTCAGCTTGATTCAGAGTCCAGATTGTGAAGCCTTATCTACATTTGAGCGACAGCCTCTAGGATATGCTGCACACAAATTAAATTGTGACTTGCAGCCATGCAATTTACCCTATTATAGATTCATAGATATTTAGGTCAGAAGGGACCATTATGATCATCTAGTCTGACCTCCTGCACAACGGAGCACGTTTGATACAGAAACCACATTCCTGGCCTCCCATAATGCCATTTTCACAGTCACTTTCTAGGGTAGCCCTGCACCTTAAACACAGGGATGGGTATGAGAACTTCCCACGCAAACCACTCACCCCAAACGTCCACTGCTGTGACCCTCCAGATCCGTGGCATTTCATGAGACGAGGTGGATCTGATGAGCGAGTTTCTGACACGTCCAAGCAGAGAAGATTATTCAAAATCAGCTCATGGTCTTCATTATAAATCCATATCTGGAAAAGGAAATAGAAAAAGTGTTTGCATAGGATCGGTGAGGAATTCAGTGTCCTTGAATTGTTTAAATCCTCTGATTATCCATGAACCAGGGGAGATTGGAATTTTCAGAGACACTTCCTGACCCTACCTTGTATTTTCATCTTTCCTCCCGTCCTGTCTTTGTGTCCCCCTGCTCCTTGATCTCCTCTCCTAACTCCAGCTCCCTGTCTTTTCCTCAGGTCACACCTTTCTCTGTTTAACCCCTTCCTAGAAGCGTCCCCTGGGGAAGTCACATGAACTAGGGCTCTGTGTAGATTTGTCCACTGAGGACAAATCAGAGAGGCAGCTGGGCTCTGAGAATCTGCCCTTTGCCCTCTGAGATCTCCATGCATTTAACTTCAAGACAATGTGGTAAGATTATAGCCACTCCAGGCTCTCTGACCCATCAGGTCATGGATCCAGGAAGCAAAAACCTAAATTTTCTTAGCGGAGGAAGATACATCAGGCATAAAGGGATAGCTGGGGGATTCTGAAGCTACATGAGTCTAGAATACAGTGTGGAAGGCTGGGAAAGCAGCAGCAGGTGCCCCATTAATACTGCCTCAGTACTTAAGGACCATTTAATTTGCTGAGACTGACTAGAGCCCTGGTCCAGCCAAGGTCTTAAAGCGTATACTTAACTCTGACCAGGAGCAGCGCCATGGAAGTCCCGGGGTGGGGAATCAAATAAAGCAGCATAAAATCTGAGTGGGGTCACTAGTCCCCAGAGTGACCCTGGAGAGCCACATTAGGCCACTCATCTTTGGGTTCTGGTACGTCTCCTGAGGTGCTTTCAGCACAGGCAGGAAATTGTCTCTGCTGGCAAAGAGATGCCATTCTTTCTGGGTTTCTGTGGCCCAGAGGGGCTGAGATTTAGGGATGACATCTTCGGGTGCAATTTGGGGCCCTGCTAAGCTTTCCCTTCCAGCGAGAGCAAATGCTTTTGCTTGTCCTGCTTGAGATTAGGTGTTTCCTGAGACATAGGGGATAACCACTGTAACACGCCGTAGCCCATGTAACCTCCCTATACCCACATATTCACCACTGTTATATGATTGATATGTTTTATACAAAGTATACCTTGTGAGTGATCGTTTGGAAAGTCATAATCTGCTAAGTATTACTGTCCTGCTAAAATGTGTGTATCAACTTTGTATATGGAGTTCTGAGATTTTTGCTACATGTTGTGAGTCTGGGAAATGCCCACAGCCTGGCTCCTCAGAAATAACAAAGGCCTTGCATGGCATCCCAAATGGCACGTACACAGCACGTGGGAGTAAGAAATGTACAATTCACCTGAGAGAGGCTTTGAATCTCACATAAATAGGAGACTGCTTTGTCTATGCCCTTGCAGGTGGGGGGAGGGGTGTTCCTCAAGGAGAAGAGGAGGGTATAAAATACGAGACAATGGCTTCTTCATCATCGCATCACTACTGAAACAAGTTTGCTTGAAAGACTTTGAATGGGGGGGATCGGTCCCAGGCTGGGAAGGGAACTGAGTCTGTGTACTAAGAATTGTGACCTGCCTGCAACATCCAGAGGGGTGAGAAAGTTGCTTGCTTCAAATTTTACTTAGCTTGGTAAAGTTTAGGAATTAGATTGCGATTTTTATCATCTTATTTCTTTTTGTAACCAATTCTGACCTTTTATCACTTAAAATCTATCTTTCTACAGTTTAATAAATATGTTTTTAGCTAAACCAGTGAGCGTTGACTGATGTGTTTGGGGAAATCTCTGCTCAGGATAACAAGGGCAGCTTCATATTCATTTTCTTTCATAAAATGACAGACTTATGAGCTTGCATGTCCAAAAGACACGTTTTGGGGGGGTGCAAGGCAGCAGCTGGTGGGGGATTTGCAGGTGTCTCCCTGTATACAGTTCATGCTGGGCGAGCACTCAGGTTACTTTGCTGGGTGTGCTAACAGCCTGGAGGGGCTGTTTTTCACTAGCAGAGCACCGGGAGAGGTATTCTGAGTGAGAGAGTTAAAGGGGCACAGCAATTCCACAGGCTCGATTGTATCCTGGGGGAGGTCACAACCATTCGACTCAGTTTGTTTCAACTCCTACAGGCTATTGCAGTTTGTAATTATTACTGGAGCCTGTACCCTAGAGCTGGGGCACTGTGGTGCTAGGTGCTGTATAAGGGTCAGGCCCGGCCCTCAATGTTAACCGAGAGGGTGGGAGAAAGGGTGTATTATCACATCCATTTTACAGCTGGGGACATGTGGCAGAGAGACATTAAATGATGTACATGAGGCCACACACACTCTGCAGCAGCACACGGAATTGAACCCCTTGCTCCTTAATCCCAGGCCATGGCATTAACCACAGGACCACTCTTTGTCCCATGAGTTTTAGCGTCACTAACCGCTACATACAATCAGTTGTTACAGAGCTTCAGCTACTTTTCCGGTTTCCCAAGGTATAGCGTGTAGAGATTTTCCCCCCCTCTCCCCCCGCTCACTCTTTTGCAGCCACAGTATGAGGAGTAGCTCTTCACCCCTGGCCCACGCAGCGTGGTGATACTTCAATAGGATTCTCATGCTCCTCTGGCTTGCATGTCTTTTAATAAAGCATGCAGCTTCATGCCCGTGTTTCAGAATGGTTGTGCATTTCATTCCACTGCACAAGCCGGCCAGTACTGGCCACAGCTACTTCATCTTTTATATTACAGCTCTAAACGCAGTGGTAGCAGAGCCCATTCACGTGAGATGGGGCTTTCCTTCTTCCTTGCTGGGAATTGTTGGCTAGTGATTATGAAGCATGACTACTGAACTTTTCATTTGTTTGGCTGTTAATTCTGCCCAGAGATTGAACCATTATTCAGAATACCCCATTCCTGGGAAGGCTGACTTGGTATGTGTGACAGCCCTATAGGCTTCAAAGCCAGAAGGATCCACTATGCCCATCTAGTCTGAGCTGCTGTATAACATAGCATACAGGACTTTGCTGAATTAATTCCTGTTTGATCTGGTGCAAAGCTTTAGAAAATAGCCAAGCGGGATTCAAAATTTCTAAGTGATGGGTGTGATACTGGCAGGCCAGATGCTAGCACTCGCCCCAGCTGCAAGTGTAAGCTAAGCCCTAACAAACTCAGAGCTGGAGACCAGACCCATCTGTTAGTTGTGCGCAAAATAGCATCAGTCTCCTAAGAAAGTATTTAGACTCTATGACATGCATGTGAGTTGCTGCATGCATTACTCTCACTTGCACTGGCTTTATGTCATGCTACCAGAAAATATGAAAGGTTTGCTTTATAACTTTGAAAATGTTTGCTGTGAATTCAGGCATGGGAATCATTCCCCCCCACCCCAATCCAGAAGGCCTAAAAAAATCATCTGGGCCATCAAGCAATATAAAGTATTGGTTAATGGCCCTATTGCATCTGGGACATGCTTTGTACAAGAAAACTCATCCTGTAGACTTGGAAGCTGAATGAAGGAAAGAAAACAAAGCCACAGTAAAATTTTCCATCTTTTTTGGCCATTTGAACTCTGACAAGACCAGAGACTCCAAACTAAAGCCAGAGATCCCATGGGGCTGCCCTGAAAAACGCTTTGACAGATAACTACAGCTCTGTCATTGTTAGGATTTAGATGGTACCTAACTCATTTGTGTGTATATGTTTGCTTGCTTTAACCTGCAAGTAACTCTTATTACTTTTTCCTGATTAATAAACCTTTAACGAGTTTGATACAGGATTGGCTACAGACATTGTCTTTGGTGTAAGAGCTAGGGTACCAATTGATCTGGGGCAAGTGACTGGTGTCTTGGGGACTGGAAGCAACCTGAATGTGGTGTGATTTTGGTGTAAATGACTATTTGTCACTACATTGAGTTTGTCTGGGTGCCAAGAGGGACTGGTATAGTGATCCAGGAGTTCACATTTGTTACTAGCTTGGTGAAATCTAATTATAGAACACACCACCAGTTTGCAGTGTCTGTGCTGTTTCTGACAGTCTGCCCTGAGGTAGATGCTTACAGTCATGAGCCTCTCTATAGAGTGTGACATATGTCATCATGTTCCCTCCAGCAGCCTGGGACCAAGATTTCCCATCAATACTCCATTATAGAAATTTTTTTTGAATTAGTGGTTTTACAGCAGCACCTGGAGGTAACTGCGTTCCTTTACCCATGTGCTGGGCACTGTGCACCCGTGCACACACAAAGAAAGGGAAGGCCCTTTAAGCGACCTCTCAGTAATGGAGAGCTGGAGCACAGAAAGGTTACAGTATTTACACAGCTACGTCCTGTTTCTTTAGGTGCCTACATTTACTCTGCACCTACATTTTTGCAGGTTCCCCTTGGTGACTCTTAGAATACACACTACTGCCTCCCTCTCTCCAACCTGTGCACCAGGACAGAAATCCCCAAACTGCCCCCTCAGAGGAACATTTAATGGGGGGGGTGGGGAGGTGCTGGAGGCAGGGCAGGAGCATCACCCAGCCCCTGCAACTGTCCCCAGCCTCAGCTCTGGGCCTGGCTACCAGCCACCACCATGACCCAGCTGGGGCTTGGCCCCAGACCTCACTCCCCCTTCAGCCCCTCTCCCCCTGTCTGCATCCCACCTGAGTTTAGGCAGCTCCTCTCCTAGCAACTGGGCTTTGGGGGTTACAATCTCAGGCACCTCTCTTTCCCTCTCCCCCCTTCTAGGTCCCTAACTCAGGCTTTGTGGAGCAGCATTGTTCCTCTGATTTTACTAGGCACCTAAAAATTAGGCATGAGGATACTCAGCATTGCAATACAGAAGTCTCTTCCTGGATTGCCTCCTCAAGGCTTGCCCAATGCCTTACAGGGAGTCTGTGGAAAGACAGGAAATGAACCCAGATCTGCTGGATCTCAGTCCAGCACTTAGGCACAAGATTCTCATTAGGTTTTGATCTCTGCCCCGATATGCTTCATGCTGAGAGATGTTTTAGATTGGATATGATGTATTGGACAAGCAAACAGGGAACCCAAGCTTGAAGGAGACCAGCTG